TGTCAATTGTGACAAGTTACAGTTCTTATCTCTATGGCTAAAAGGAAGTTAGATAGATAGATGTAAATAGAATTGGATACATAGATAGATGTAAATAGAATAGGATAGATAGATAGATAGATAGATAGATAGATAGATAGATAGATAGATAGATAGATAGATAGATAGATAGATAGGTGTAAATAGAATAGGATAGATAGATGTAAATAGAATAAAATACATAGATAGATAGATAGATAGATAGATAGATAGATAGATTTAAGTAGAATAGGATAGATGTAAATAGAATAAAATAGATAGATAGATAGATGTAAACAATTGTGTGTCTCTCTCTCTCTCTCTCTCTCTCTATATATATATATATATATATATATATATATATATATATATATATATATACATTCATACAGAATATGATAAATAAATGTGTACATGAGAGGCTAGATATAGATTGATATATGCAAGCAGAATAGATAGATAGATAGATAGATAGATAGATAGATAAATAGAGAGGTTTAAATGTATGAAGAAAAACCAGTTGTGATATATGTATTAAATATTTCAATATGAAATTCCAAGATGTTAAAAAAAGCAAATAAAAAAAAACTACGTATAAATTTCAAAAGTTTACTTAGTTTTATGAAAATATAATCATCTCCGAAGTTACACTGAAATATATTACAATTGTAAATAAAAATAATTTCGCTATAAAAGTCCTTATTCGCAACAGGTACTTAGAAACAACGCTATGAGGGTGCATGATGTGGACTACATCCCTCCGTACGTTCTTTAGGAATCCACAAATAAAATGACGAAATTTGTCCTCTTTACCTCGATTTATTCAGCTGATCTGTATAATTTATCTAAAATAATTTGTCCAATTAATTTTCTACATAAATAAGAAAAGTTCATTTTCTGTTAATTTTTTCCCATAACATTAGCTTTTAAATCTTCTATCTGGAAGGTGTTTTGATAGAGGACGGTAAGAGCGACGCTGAGATCCAAAGACGTACTGGGATGGCCAAAGACGCCTTCCAAAAGCTAGGCAGAATATTACGAGAGAGAGGAGAATTACGTTGGTAGCAAAGAAAAGAATACTGAACTGTTACGAGATATCTGTCCTCCTTTACGACAGCAAGTGTTGGACGGTCTCCTCATAGATGAAGAAGAGACTCGTGGCAACGGATGTATGGTTCTACAGAAGGATGCTAAGGATACCATGGACCGAATATGTGAGCAATGATGAGGTTTTAGAGGAGGATGCAAACAAGAAGTAAGCTTATAGTTAACATCAGGAAGAGGCAAATGAAATTTCTGGGACACGTACTGAGAAAGGGGGCTTGGAGAATCTGATACTCACAGGGAGGATAGCGGGAAAGGGAGACTAGGGAAAGCAATGCATGATATACCTAGTGAGCTTAAGAAGGTGGATGACGGAACAGGGTTTGGGAGAAGTACCAAAAGGACAAAACATATTGAGAGTTATAAGGGATAGGGGGAAGTGGAGAGCCATGATCGGCTACGTCCTCAGGGGACGCACCATATTAAAGAAGATATAAGACTATTGGTGGTACATATATGCAAGCTAAAAGCAAAAACCCATATATTAAATATATATATATATATATATATATATATATATATATATATAATTATTTATTTAAAAATATGATTCCAACACGCTACATAAGAGTTCTCATGTTTCAAAACAAGAGCCGAAAACCTCATATATGTGTGTGGGGGGTGTAGTAGGATGACTAAAGAACGTCAAAAAAGAGATAATAATAATAATAATAATAATAACTGAGTCTGTCTCTCCTGTTTTTAGTTCGCACGACCCCGTTACAACATGTCAGTATCTGGTGAATAACGGACTATACTGTTTTGATCGCGGCCAGCATCGTTCTTGGCATTTTGGCACGGGGTGGTTAAAAAATTATTAAGCCGAAGGCCTTCCCCCAAAGCAGTACATGTTCTTCGGAAGAGGGTTGTGTTTCTTCTTATTTTCCCCTAAAACCTTCGATAGGAGTTTATGTATATTTTGTTTTCATGCCTCTACTGTCAAACCTGTGTTATCATCATATCTAAGTTTGTGACTGCCAAGAGTGGGTCCCTGGAGGACATCTAATTGCCTCATAATTACTTCACTACTGTAAAGATCGAATAAGTTCGGAGAGAAGACACATCCTTGTCTTACACAACTTGCAATTTTTCTATAGATCTGTCAAATGCCATATATGATACACACTCGGCCGATCATGTGTATTTCGATACATGACTGACGAGTTTTTTTGTTTTTTTTTTCCGCAGCAGTTTGCCATTTCTTTTTGCGGTAGACTGGTTGCCAACCAAGACTAAAGAACCCAGTCTGTTCTGCTATTCAGCCATAGCTGGGAGGGGAGAAGGGATGGATTCATACCATTCCCAATGGTACCAAATTCATTTTCTATCCTTAAGCAGGCAGTCTGCACCCATTATAGGTTACAGATAATCCTAATCTTGTTCCCAAATATATCAAGTTTACCTAACACTATAATTATTCAAATAAAGTTATTTTCTGCGTTGAAAATGGCGACCATGTTAGTATTTAGATCACAGGTTTGGATTGAAAGGAAATAAGCAATGTATAAAAAGAAGTAAACAATGTATACCATGTCTAATGGTATATTTTGATAACGATGAGAATTCATTCAAACACTGAATTAAGGGCCTACTCAAGGGGATTAGTGAGTAGCAATCGGAAATTGAACTCTGCTTACTGTTTCCACTTTTGCTGACGCCAGCCATTTCGTTCCGTGAACATGCCGGAAAATAAATATCCTAAAATCGAATCTTTTAAGAAACACGCATTTTAATGCATTTCAGAGGCTATTAAAATGATTTCAACTTATCCATCAAATATTCATATTCAGAGGTAAAAAAAGATTGATTGCTATATTCGGGCTTCGGTTAATACGACACAAAATGCAAACATCTCGCAACAAAATTGGATTATTTCGTCTTCCATTGCCGAAATACAGAAAATTAGCTGACGTTGACGCGTTTCGTAATAATTCTATGCAGCATGGACGGAGAATTTTAACTTTATATGCTTCCGTGAATAAACCCTACTTAAGTAATTTGGTATTAAAATTTCAAGCAAACGCATGTGTACCTCTCAGCTTTTCATTTTATCATATATATATATATATATATATATATATATATATATATATATATATATATAATAGGCCGATGAAATAAATTCGGGAGATGAAGAAACGGCAAAAATAATATTGATAATAAAAATAATAATACTTATTATATATTATTAGGCTTTTTGACCAAATAGGAACATGATAAAAAAGATTTTAAAAATCGGATTTTTCGGACACGTTTGTATCTTCTTCCAACGAGACGAGAAATTGAAAAGTAAAAGGTAGTGAGACTTTCTTTTTCCGGTAATATTTTTCCGCATGTATTATTTTACGCAAGAGATCTGTTAATGCAAAAATTTCAATAGAAAAAAGAAAAAGATTATTCTTTCAATCCTCAAAATAGGTTTCAACTTTAAATAACCCGAAAATGTTGGTAAGCCGTAAAAAAGAAATCAATTCATCGCTTTTTGTAGGAGTTCTCATTTGAATTCGTTCTCAGCGTCATCCCCGTATATAATATTGTTAAGAATATGGCCACCGAAAATAAAACCTGTTAGGATTTCTTGATCTCTTCAATAAATTGAAATAAGTTTAGATAAATAATGCTGATTACGCTATTTTCTATGTTTTATGTTCTTGCATAACCGTTTCTATCCGTTTTAAGGCAAATTTTTAATAATAAATATGGCGGTTAATTCTGATGTCTTTCCTATAGTTTGCGTTCATCTTCTTGCTTAACCGTTTTTATCCGTCTTTAGGCAATTGTTACTAGTAAATATGGCGGTTAATTCTGATGCCTGTCCATCTAGATTGAGTTTTCGAAGCAGTTCAAATGGGTTTAATCAGATCCCGATTTGACAGCTTTATTATCTTGAAGATTACATTTCTTGTTCCAGTGTCTTAAACACGTATCAAGATTCTTGTCCTTTTTCTAGTCAATTCTTTGAGGGGCTCTGTTCATTAAAATTCTAATGATAAGCTTAGTTCTGTTACACGTTAAACTGATTGTCCGATGGAGCTCGCAATAATCTGCATGTAAATTATTTAGCATCCCTTCTGTGTGTCAGTTTTAGTTTTAAAAAACTGAATCTGATATCAAATTCATTCAGGACAGCAAGAGATGTTTTAAGAATGGTGAATATCAATGAATAGACACATGTTCGTATTCATATTCTCTTAATCTTTTTCCAAGTACGACCAATGCCGAAAATAACCATGAAGATGCTAGTCGAAGGAATCCACTTCATTTATCCCTCGGCTATGGGTAATTTGTTGAACTTGTATCCGTAATTTGTTGAACTTTATCTTCAAAAAATATAATCTAAAATGTTTTCTGTTTTTAAATAACCTGCAAAAGGTTGATAAACCGTAAAAAACAAATAATCTGCCAAAATTACGCCACACATTTATCTTGTTTTATACAAGTGGACTATTCATTTTAAGTAGTGCCTTAATTCTTTTCGGCCGTTTTTGCAATTAAATCAAGTCGGCAAACTTGGACATACGGCTCTCAGAAAACGGAGTACCAAAAGGACAGGTTTTTTTCCATTGACACTGATAATATTTTAACTACCTTCCATCCTCAAAAGTGTTTGTTGTTTTAAAAAGCGATTATTAGAATCTTAATAAAATCTAATAATAAGATAAATAAAAGTGAATTCAAACATTTTTTTTGTTCTTGCGAATTTACAGCAAAAAAATTAAACAGATTCTTAATTACATTGTTTATTTACACGAATAATCTTATAGTTGCAACATCCGAAAACTTCTAATAAAAATGTAATAAATAGTGTGTTTTTTTTATATATATATATATTTGCCGTCAATTCTCAAGAACAAAGAAAATATATAAATTCACTTTCA